TGTATAAGCGGTGAAGCTGGTCGACCGAGCAGACTCTCGAAGAATACAAAGAATCTTTCAATAAAGTGCGACCATTGTCGCTTATAACCATCAAAAACCTAATCCAAACTACTTTCAATGTGTTGTGGGACTGTGGGGATTGTGGGATTGTGGGATTGTTGGATTGGTGGGGCGGGGGAAGTGGTACTTTTAGAGAAAAGGGTGAACCATAGCTGATGGATGCCATTCGATAAGTAGACCCTTGGGGGCTAAATCGCTCACTGCCAACTGGTTTGCCCCTCAGGGTATGGCATGGGATGAGTTCGAGTTCGAGTTCGAGTTCGAGTTGATTTCCTTATCCGATAATCGGGGCTCAAGTCCAGCCAAAGCAGCCAGCTGCGGCCGTTCAATTAGCGTCTCTCAAGCAGCCACCAAGCACCTGACTGGGTTTCTAATTAACTTTTACCCCTCTTAGAAGGAGTGGGTGCTGGAAACCACAGCTGTGCTCCACTCTACAAGGACAGCGAACAATATGGAATCCAATTTCACAACAAAATTGCTCTTGAAAGGACTCCCACCGCCAGCGAAGCCACGGCGACTGCACAATGTACAAATTCAATTGCAACTAATGCACTTCATGGGAACTCTGCTAGCCCCATCCTCTGGTCCCACTTGACTGCAGACGTGTCTGCGTGTGAAGCTTAAGCTGTTTGGCCGCAGGAGCGAAGGGCGGAAGGCTGCATAGAAACCAGAATGCCGAAGGTTGTGTGCCCAGCCAGTCAAGGAGCGGAAATCAAACAAGACGCGAGGATTGCTCGCTTCTTAGCCGGCAGACGAGAGAGAGATGGGCTCGTGCTCAATGGACGCCTCACGAGATTAAGAAATTTAAAATCACGGATTAGTTGGCCGGGTCCTTACACATTTCCTAAGGTTGCCCTTTTTTAAGATGAACGGTAATGTAAGTAATGTATGCTGGAGACAATACTATGTACTCATTTTACTAACCTCAATTGCAAGTTCCCTAAAGGGGCCTTCGTGTCACGCTGCCAGCTGTGTGGCAGGATGGGAGTCGAGCTCCACTTGCCTTTGCAGCTCTTGGCCGCAGCTGTGTCCTGGCTCCGGCTCCAGCTACAGCTCGGAACGTGGAACGTGGAACGTGAAACGTGGCTCGTCTGCAGTTGCCTGCGTGGCCGGCATGGCAAATATTTAACGCAAACAATGCGCTTAAATCAAAAGCAAGCCATGTCTGCGGCATAACTGTGAGACAGGCAGACAGACAAGAGCCACCCATCTGGGCCATCCACCAAAGGGGCAAACATGAAATCTATTTAACCTCACACGTTGAGGATACTTCCTCCTCCTCATTGCCCTGCTCCCGATGCTGACACTGCCCTTTAGTTTTAATGCCCCTGTCCGGGCAGCAAAGGAGCATGCAAATCAGCTTTTTATTTGACTGGCCTCCCGACTGGCGCTTCCAGTGCTAGACCTCAACCTGAAGCTGAACCTGGGAATGGCGCGAGACCTAAGCTGGGTCCATAAGTTCACCACGGAATGACCCTCTGGGGAAATTCATAGTTGATACTTGTGGCCATTGAACTGTAAGAAAAGCGAGCTGGACGGACTGACAATAAACACAACAGAGGAAAGCAAAAGTGCCGCGCCGGACGGGACAGGACTTTATCCTTATCTCCTTCTCATGTCTTATGTCAAGGCAAAGTTTGTGGCACAAACTTTTGCTGCTCTCTTGTGTCAATGAAAGCGGTCACTTAAAAAATGCCACCCACCCCAAACCCAAACCCAAACCCCCAGATAAAACATAAGAGAGACAAAGAACTATATCAAAAGCAATATGTCTGGGTATGCATAATTAGAAAAGTTTGCTGCATGCCACATACGTCATTTACTTGCCTGACCACTCGGACTTGATTCTGCAGCCGGGGTTATGGAAATATCAACGAGTGGGGAGACAGTTTTATATCCTGAAAATTAAACACGACACAACGTCGTTATCTTTATAAATCAAAGGGAATTACATGCACCCCCACAACATGACCATCCCCACATGTGAATGCCACAGATTCTGGAAAATGTTGCAAACCCTTTCTGCAAATAGCTCAGAGCTCAGAGGACGCCTCTCCCCACACACGGACATATTTTTAATGATTTATTTCCAATTTAAGCAAGATTTCGTACTTAAGATCCTCTGCCTAATGGCCGCCCCCGGCCAAAATGCGAGGTCTGTGGTCACCCCGTTCTCGCCCAGAATTCCCCGAGCGGCCAAGGGTGCAGACATCTCCTCAGCATCGCTTCCCACTCTCAGTGGACCACTGGTAGTGTGCTAATATGCAAATCCAATTTATTGCACTACCCGCTCCATTTCTTTCCCCTGCCTGTTCCACCAACCACTGCCTCGATGTCCTGGCTGGGCGTGAGTTATACGAATCCTTTTTATCTCGGCTGTCGCCTGGCGTGCGTCGACCACATAAATCTTGTATAAGTTTGCTCCTTGCCAGCCAGGGAGCCTGGGAACCAGGCGGGGATCCAGGAACCAGCCAAGTCAATATGCTAAATCAGCAAAATCCCTGGCTCGCTCCTCATGCTCTTCTCTACTCGGCTTAACATGGACTTCTGAGAACTGGAGGACGGGCGGGGCATGTTTGGACAGCTGCTAAGACATTTCAATAACGCTTTGAGCTGGAGCTGGGTTCGGGAGCCTGGAATGCCAGGGCGACAATACCAATTCCTATCCTCCTTCCTCTTTCCTAGTCGATGCTTGTTGAATTTTAATCATTTGCGTGATGCATACTTACTTACAGGACATCTCCATTGAGAGCGAGAGTGCAGAAAAGCGAAGAACAGGTAGCTGGCGAAATATCGAGCAAGAAGTATAATACTTATTATTACTTATATTACTTACCTAATAATATACATATGTAAATATCTGCCCGAATGTGCTTAAACTAAATTAGATTAATCTTTATGAAATTTATTATTATCTAGATGACTTTATTCGACTAAAGCTTACCTTACTTTTAAAGCAAAAATGTTTGTGCTTCGATCGGAGGTAACTGATCTCTCTTGACTCGTCTATCTCCTTTTGTTCCAACCGGTTCGTTAGGGTTAGCAGGAGGTAACGCCTGTCATTGCTCAATGGGGGCATACAGAGATTTATGTTGGGAACAGTAAACAGGAGGCCGGGGAAAGCTGAGACGGTGCAGAGCAGAGCAGACGAGTGTGAGACAAAGGAACTGCCCGGAAATAAATCATCTTTTAGCGGCAGGCGGCGAATGTCCTCCGGAGCTCGCGATTACCACTTCAAGCCAAAACCGGTTCGGGCCCGTTCACTGCGGTTCGGGATCCTAATATAAACAGACTTGAAACAGAGAATTGGGAAACGGATTTCCGACTGCATTCGTTTTCCGTTTCCCATTTTCATGCCACAACTCATGCCCATTGTCCTGGGGATGGACTGTCGGCCGTTTCAAATTTGTCAACTAGCAAGGAACAAATGTCAGCGAGATAAGCGTGGAGAAACTTTTATCGGAATGATATTCGGATTCAGGATAAATCACTCGCACGTCGCTGACCGGAATATTTCACAACAAGATTGGTTGGTTCCCGCTCCGCTCCATCCTCATCCCGAATGAAAAAATAGCCAAAAAATGCAATAAAAATCATCGGCCAGTCTGGCCAGAGCCATGAAGAAAAGTTTTCTTCCGTTGGACAAGATTGATAGTGGCCCAGTGGTCATGGTCAATTTGTATTCCGGGCAGGCTCTTCCCTTACTCCCTCTTCCCCAGTTCTGGTCAATCAGACGAATTGCGCCAAATATTTGCGCCGCTTATCAAAAAATTTGCGGCCCATTGTCAGAGTGATGCAATTTTAAACCCGATTCGGGTCAGGACATCTGTTCAAATATTAGCTTATAAAATTGTTTAAAATGCGATCCAGCAAACCGTCCACTATGGTCATGCTCGCCTGCTAGTCATCCCGCTTCCAGGAACATGGCATACAGGGAACCATCATCACCGCCTTTTGACAGTTGCCACAATTTATCATAATTCAATGCATGCCATGTCCTGTCAATCACTGAAATCGACAACGGCTTCGAAAGGGTGAAGTCGAACACACATTAGCCCCGCTAGTATACCCTCGCCGCAGGGCAGAACTGTGGGGAAACAGGATTGAGGTGGACTGAGGCCGGGAAGGACATTTTTACAAGTGACTTATGAATTATTCCTTGTACTTGTCCCCGTCCATCTCAATCTCTATCTCAGGTTCCGTCTCGCTCGACTCACTTTGCTCTTTATGGTTGGCATTTTGTGTTTTTAAATCGGATTAAGCCAGATGGGATATGGGGATGTAGAAGTACATGAAAGGGTCAATGTTGGACAGGGAGAGGGTACTAAGACGTTTATCAAACGGAATATGCGATGCCACTAGACCATTAGACATTGGCCAGCCCCTGATGGACAGGCGGGACGTGATCCCAGACACGGCTCATCAAGTGCATTGTCAGGGGACACAAAAGGGTTAATCGTCTACAATTTTCATAGAAAGCTTTTTTTAGGAAGAACCTGGCCAATGTAAATGTGATCCAAGAGTATCTGTGGGTTATTTCATCAGATTTTCCAACTATTTAATTAATTTGCTGAATGGTCATCAAAAATAGTAATATCCCATGTAACAATAAGTATGTAGTTAAAAATAAAGTTGAAAGTTTGTGTATTGTTTATTTATTTTCTAATTTGCTGGTCTAATTGACAGAAAAATATAGAAGTATATGCATATTTAATGTAGTATATTGTATGAGTTGTGCATGATGGCTTATATAAAATGATCCCTTCGCGTGTCACTTACATCTAGGCGAAATCTCTGCGATTGCATAATGCGGAACTTCCTACAAAAGCTTTAGACCCTTCCCTGGAGTCGACAGCGTAAATCACAACTCATGAAACTGATAATACTCTCTGCTCTCGCATGAGATAGCGCGGGGAGCGGGATGATAAGAACATAACTCGTAGATTTTTGCTGTGCCCCGTGGATCGGTGGCGAGGCAGAAGGAAAGGTAATTTATTGGGAGAATTTCGTGCCAATCAAAGAGAACGAAAACTGAAGCTTTAATTTGTGATTTAATGGCGGACTTTCGGGGAAGGGTTTCAGCTCGGGTGATAACGAAATAGATAACAAAACACTAGATGGAGTTGATTTGCTGGCTGATAATTTTGAAGAGTGACTGGACACCTCAACCACGGCGGCGGCGGTGTGGGTGATCCAGAACGGTAACGGGGGAACCAATTTACAAGTTCTTGTCGAAGAGGAACTCTCCCAGCTCGCCGTGGGTTGACATCATCTTCTTAAGGGTGGTTAGCTTGCCGGCCAGCTCGCGCTGTCCGTGAAGCTGCTCCTCCAGGTACACGCCAGTGAGATAGTCCACCAGGTGGTAGTGGTTGTAGGGCTTGCCCTCACAGGTCTGGATTAGCTTGCGGATGGAGCGGGTGACCTTCGTCTCCAGTTCTAGGGCATCCTCAAGGGCGGCGGCACCATCCTTCCACTCCTGCTTGGCTACGGTCTGGAAAAGGAATAAGATACATAAGTTTCGCAACAATCCCTGGATATACCCCTTAACAGGATACTAACCGGGACGGTGATGAGCTTGCTGACGTTATCGGTGAGCTGGCCACGCATGGACAGGTACTCGACCAGCTTGGAGCCATGCTCGCGCTCCTCCTTGGCGGACTTGAAGAAGGTCTCAGCGAAGCCGGGGCGGTTGACGGAGTCGCGGGCGAAGTAGGCGCCCATGGCCAGGTACTGGTAGGAGGCGTTGATCTCCTCCTGAATCTGGTTGCGCATGCCGTTAAGACAGCCGTCCTTCAGGTCCATCCAGCCCTTGGGGATCTCGGGCACCTCCAGCGAGCCTGTAAACCAAATAATTACGTCAGGTATCGTGATCGGCTAAAGTTTCTTATGCTTAATGCACTAAACTTCTTTGCACCGGGCACTGCACTGATCGTTCTCTATTTGATCTTGACCTTGGTCATTACTCTGCTTTTTCTTCTTCCCTTCGCTCGCTGGCTCTTCCACGACACTCTTGCTTTCTTTCTTGTTTATGGCTGAGTGGGGAGGAGGACCGGTATTGGAATTGCATAAAATATTCTAGAACAAGGAGAACGTGTGCAAACTGCATTTTGCTGTTCTCGCGCTCTCACAGCCAATACCCTCTCTTTGGCGTTTCTCTAGCTTGGGAACGTGCGCAACACTCGCCGCCATAGCAACGGAATTTGTTTTGGTGTGGAGCCGTGTGCAAAAGTTTTCTATCTCCCTCGCACAGCTCTAAGCTGGCGACAGGCGGTCGTGTGCAAAATACAGCTGGGCTTGACCCGTTAGTCGACGAAATAAAAGCAAAATTCGCGTAATATGGAAATCGATTTTAAAATTTGATCAAATCCATAAACTGGTTTCCCTTTCTCCAGAAGCGGAACGGAAGCATTTGCCGGAATTAATTTTACAAACAAATAACAAACTTGTGAAATTTCTTGTTTTGATGGGCGTAAGAGCGAGCAGAAAGCAACCAAAGAGCAACTCTCTTAGCGCGCATGCTCTCCCGCTCTTTGGCGACCTGACTCGCTCTCTTGTTGAGGCCTTTTGGTGTTATTGCGTCTAATTTTATTTTTCCACTGTTTCTTTTTTCTTTTGTTTAAACAAACACAGAATACTCACATTTAAAATCTCCGTACGCCTGTTGGGCCACCACGGCCAGCACCAGAAGGCTTACAATTAATTTCACCATCTTTGTTCTTCGGAATTGGGTTCAGGAAAGTCTTTACACGAAATCACAGAACAAATTGTCACGTTTAGTAAACGTTGTATGTGGTGGATGCACGAGAATGAGAATGAAGCGTCTCGAGGAGGTTGCCAATGTTAAATAGGCTCACCGCACTAGACTTTATCGAAATTCGAAACTGATTATTGGGCTGCTGTCCGTCAAAATGCCTTTACACACACTGGTATAGAAGGCGACGCCTGCTCGGTTTTCGACTAAATGGGGCTTTACTTTCCAGTACCTTCTTGACGTGACAGAATAATCTGCTCGGCGACGATTTTGTTGCGGTAATGCTTATGCTTTGGTTATAGGGAACGTGAGTGCTGAATGCGAACTGTGAATGCCTGTGGCGCACAAAACACTTTTAAGCGCTCCGGCTGACGCTCTTTCTCGCTCGCTGTGCGAGTGTGTGTGTGTGTGTGGGAGAGTGTGCACTCTTATCTATTCAACATGTCGTCGCTGCTTTGTTGCGGCGGCTATTTGTAATACACTGATAATTGAATATTCTTGATAATACGGGTACTTAATTTAATACACACGTCCTCAATGTGCGAATTTCCCATCCAGATTGCCCACTCCAGGCCGAAAAATACAATATGGCGTCAAATGGTCGCTCTTGACTCAGCGTCAGCTGTTCTTTGTTTTTGTTTTGGTTGTGTGGGAGAGAGTAAAGTGGAAAACGTCATGGGTTGCCAGGCGCATGGATTTTTCCCATATCGACACTGACTGACAATATAATTCTTGCGACTTGTCGCTGGATCAATCAAAACTTTCGATCAGTATCAGCAGTGGCAACGCGGCAACAAGTGACAGCTGTCAATCTAAGCATTTTCCAAAGATAGTAATACACATTTATGTTACGTGGAGACCTTTCAGCCATATTTGATCATATGTTTAAAAAATCTTTTATACAAATAGTTCCTTATTAATTGATAAAGATCTATGCCCCTTGAAACAACTCAGCTTGCACACGCTGACAACCCTGCCTTACACTCCGCTTGTGAGTCACATGGACAAAACAACACCAACAACAGCAGAGCGGCCATATTGCCTGCACTGAACCACAATTGACTGACAACGAAATCCCATCGTGAAGAGAGGCGAAACAACGGCGAGTGCAAAACAACAAATGCCCATGTAGACACTCACGCACACTGGCGCACGCTCTCAGCAGCAGTATCGACCGCATAGAAACGAGGCAAACGCGACGCTATAAACAGCAGTTCGCGTTTCGAGTTCCACCAAGCAGCACACATAAAGAACCCAAAAAGCAGCTGAAAATTGAATTAAATTCATTGCGACAATCTAAAGTGAGTTTAGTCAATTAGTTTACTTAGTAAGTTCTGAGTACCGAGAGCCGCAACTTTAACCTGATCTAAAATCCGAAATTCGAAGCAAAACAGTTATTGCTGGTGATGGTGGTGGTGGTTTCGTTGTAAAAGAGCGAGAGAGAGGTGCATGGAAAATTCTTGAAATTACGACGCAAAAACGGAATTTAGAACGAACATCTTAGTCGCCTGAGATATTTCTATCCGATTTAGTTTTTAAATTTGTATTGATATTGTGAAACTAATTCCTATAACTCCATCAATTCTCTGATCTTAGTAATTGAACAAAGATGAAACTGCTCGTTGCATTCGCTTTGATTGCCAGCCTCGGCGCTCTGGCCCAGGCAGAGGAAGAGTATTGCCACAACAGCGTGGTTACCGCCTGCTCTTCGTCGACCTTTTCTGGTGAGTAACAAGAGAGCGCGTGAAAGAGAGAGTGTATGTGAAGAGAACCTAACTGATTGTGATTGTGTGTTGTTTCTCTTGCCTTTGAATTTTATACAAAATAAACAAGCGCTCACGGGCTTTTTCACAGGCGAAAGTAAGATTAACCTTACAACCCCCTTACCCCTTCTGATACTTCCGCAATAAGAAAAATCTTAATTTAACTTTTTGTTTCCTGCCCCCTCTTTCGACGCAGGCAACTCCATTTGTAATGCCCGCTTCGCTGGTATCGAGCACATCGAGCCCGAGGTCCAGGCCTACATTAACTCCCAGTTGACCAAGTCCTACGAGTACCTGCTCTTGGCCACCCACTTCAATTCTTACCAGAAGAACCGCCCCGGCTTCCAGAAGCTCTACCAGGGACTCTCGGACCGCTCCTTTGAGGACAGCATTGCTCTGATCAAGCAGATCACCAAACGTGGTGGCATCGTGGACTTCAACAGCCGCCACGAGTCTGCCGCCTCCGTCAGCACACAGCGTCCAACTCTGGAGGTTGATGAGCTGCACTCCCTGGCCCTGGCCCTCGATAATGAGAAGCAACTGGCCACCGGAGCCACTCACATCCACACCCGTGCCATTCACGCCACCGAGCGCGACCCCGAGATGGCCCACTACATTGAGGAGGAGTACCTCGGCAAGCAGGCCGAGTCCGTGCGCAAGCTGTCTGGCTACGCCAACGATCTCGCCAAGCTGATGAAGGTGCCGGACCCATCTCTGTCCATTTATCTGTTCGACGAGTATCTGCAGAAGCAGTAAGAAGCGTTCCCGCTCGATACAATCTACACTCATCTTCCCTACTAAATTCAGCACTGCGATGCCTTTCAACCACCTTTAAATTGATTTGTGTCCCCCGTTCTATCAACAATAAATCGCAGTGCACAGCAGCATTATCAGCATCATTATATTATTGTGATAGTGTTATCATAAATAAGTTAGCGAAGTTCGCCCAAATGTGGCTTTAGCATACATATATACTACAGAGTGAACAAATAAAAACAACACAAAATACAATATCAACATGATGATAAAGCTGCATCTGGTTGCCATCATTGCGGGGCGTGTCGGATCTTGGATCCGCTCTGACAGCTGCCGTACTTGGTGGTTTGTATTCCCTCGAATGCTGATAGAAGCACAGCTGGGGTTGTACTTTGGATACGCCTTTGTGTGTACCCCGGAACAATGGAGGAACCACTTTGTGTTGTTTTTGTACTCGCCAAAATCACCGAACAAAACATATAATTTGTGTGTATGTATGTACTTCAATGGATCATATAATTGATAAATACTATGGAATGGGGAACGTGTGATATATTTATGCATACACGTTATGATAGATATGGCTTAGAATGAAACATATGAACCAGTCGGAGTAGATTTTCATAAAGTACCTATGATGTACATATGTAGTTATCAAACAGTTTTCCTCAAAAGGCTTTCCTCAAAATGGCAAAGATCATTGGGGATCTTGCATGGACAATCAAATATCTAAATATGGAGTACGAGCGTTTAAAAATTTAGATCGATAACAGCCAGTGGACAATCATACAGATTAGAAGAAGCTTAAAGGAACTTGACTATCTTATCAGCGATAGGAAGGTTGGGGCCACTCTCCATTCGATTGTTTGCGGGAATCCACGTCATGTCTTGAGGAGAACTCTCTTTTTTCCAACTTATCATCGTCGGCTGCACACGACTTGGCCTTCTCGGTTGGGGTTCAGTGCAGGGGCCGGATCGCCATATTGCCAGACTGCTGACTAAACCGGAAAGGGACTCTGCCTCTGACGTGTACTACGCTGATGACGATGATAATGATAGGATGTCACCAAGTTATGTAAGGCTGCTGTCAGAGTGCTCCGGGTTCTCCGTGCCTGAATCTGCATCGCAGTTTGCTTATCTCCTATTTCAGCTGTTGTGAAAATACTTGTACATTCAGGCTCATAAGTACATGTTGGGGATCATACCATTTGCACTATGGAGCCAAGCCACGCATCAGGGTAATTTATCAATTAGCGACGCCCATTCAATGGGGATTCTGTCTGCCATATCACATCCCGATATGGTCCACTAGCACGTGAAATGAACGTCAATTTGCCATTTTAATGACGTCCATTGCCGCAATAACTACTTGAGGGGGTGGGCCGAGGTCAGGAGTCATCAAATCGCAGCCCGAATCCGTGTAATAACTGCGTGCTCTGATGTAATTAGAATATGACAGCCATAAGAGGAACTAAAACTCCATTTCGGATCATAACAGTTAGGACCGAATGAGATTGAGCAGGATGGTGGCTTCTGGTGGTGGTCCATGGCGGGGCATTGTCTCCGAGTGCGTGCGTTGGTCATTAAATAATAATCCACTTAATATTAATTGCCCTGATTTGCGGCTAGATGCTGGCGGACCGTCGACTCTTAAGGAGGGTTCCATAATTGCGGTAATTTGTGGTGTATTTGGCCAGGATCTACTTTTCTCTAAATGTAATTGTTTATGCCATAAGCCTTCACAAATTACGGAGCTCGCAGACAGTTTCCAAAGAAATCCCCACATGGTATAAGCCGAGGTCATAAAAAGGTGTCTTTACCCTCAAAAATGTCCATTAATTTATGCATTTTAATAACACTTCGAGCAATTACAAAGGGTTGAGGTTGTCCTCAACCGAGGCTGCAAACTATTTGCTGAGGCCAGATGTTGTTAAAGGATTCGGCTGCCAGACAACTATGAGTATGGATATGGATATGAAGACCATCTGCGTGCAGGATGTGTTTGAGTGTGTCCTGGACATGCGGGACACACATAATATGTATGCAAAATAGCAATTTAATTTCGTTTTATTGCAATGCCATTTGCAGCCACTGAAAGACAGCTGTGCCGACAGCTTCCGGCTCCCCATAAATAATCCTTGCCTCTCTTCCCCCTACTTGCACTCGCACTCGAACTCGCAGTCTTCTCATCTCTCCCTCGGCGGCTACTCCTTTAGCATGTGCAATTTTAATGAAAAGTCTTCTCCAGCCATTGTTTGGGCCACATTGCCAGTTCGAAGGCAGACATACCAATATTGTTCGGCATTTTTCATTAAAAAAAAATTCGAATTGGTTAAAATATTTAATCGGAAAAATCCTTATCGCAAAATACGTTTCAGGAGAAGCTCCAAAAATTAAGAGTTGCTAACGTACATACATTTTCTATATACTATGTACATATGTACATACGTGAATTTAATACGTGAATTCCATCCCTGTCGCCACTCTTCCCTTAAGGTTCCCACCCAACCAAATGTAGCTGATCCAAACAACAGCAGATTGTGCCTAATAAAGCGATTTGCACAAGGAAGAGTTGACTTGAGGGAAGATTGCACGTGAAATCGATAGCTCCCCGAGCAATTTGTGCAATCATAGGAGGCAAATTTCCTCGGGGATTGCTCGATTAGTCAGGCAATCGAATGGGTAAGAGGTAAGAGGTAAGAGGTTCGAGGTTTACATATCAACAGACAGATGATTGACTAATGGATCTGCTCCGTGTGCAGCGATAAGCGACTCAACTGGGCGATAAGCAAGCGAATTCTCTCTCTTTCTCTTTCTCTTTCTCTGTCTTTGTTGTTTTTCCTCATTTTGAAATAATGCAATTTTGCACAATTTCGCCGAGGTTTGAACATGGGTGGGGGTTAGCGATGGGTAGGGGGACACGGGCAACCTGATACTGATCCACCCCATGGGGTGCTTTGTAGGTTGGTTTTTCAGCTGCTCAGAGGCACTGAATTTGCATGTTTGAATTGAAATTCCTTTTTCAAGGTCAGTGGGTAAAAACAAGTTGCAAAAAAGTTCGCAAAGGGAAAGCAACCCTCGCAAGGGGTTGCTTTTGTAATTGTTGTTGTCTTTTGGCTTAGCTAACGCGGGCCCTCGAGCGGAAATGGTCAGAAATGACATGTGGCCAGCAATTTGCATACACCAGTCCACGCACGCACATTTGGCAAGCCCACACCAGGACCTCATCTCATCTGCATCTCTCATCCTGGCAGCTGCTTCACGGGGCGTCCCTGATGGTGCGTGAGGCAGGCACGCGCAGAGCTAAAAAGCTGAACGGCAACTGTACTTCCAGTCGACTGCCCGGACTCTCCGAGGGTTGCAAACAGCCAAACACTTCCACGCCACCCAAGCGGCAATGAGCATAACTCCTGATTCTGATTCTGATTCTGATTCAGATTCTGGTTCGACTCGGCTCGGCTCTGGGCGTCCTAAAATATTTATGGGAAATTTTCTGCACTGGCACTAAATTAAAATTCAATAAATCATAATTTGTTTTGATTTGTCTGCTAAAATTGCACTCGACTTCCTGCTTTCCCCCTCCTTGAGGCATAATCCTTCCCTCTTTTCGTTGTTGCATTCGAGTGGCAGGCAAAAGTTTATTGAGTTTTCATTAGCGTCTGCGTTTTTGTTCAAGTTTTGGCTTTCCAGCTTGGCAATTATTCAGCCCGTCAGATGAAAAGAGAGAGCGAGTCTGCGAAAAGTTTTCCCGAAGAGGCGGACAAACTTTCAGTTTGCCATTTTTCCGGTCGAAAGTTTTCACTAGTTTGATTAGATTCCTCCCGCTGTCCATTGCAGTTCACGCAGATCTGATCTATAGTTGAAGTTTAATGTTTTTGCGGAATCGCTTATTGCGCTTTGTCTGGCAGAACATAAGGTAACATTTCCTCTATATGCACATACATATATTTACGTATTTTGACCCTATAATTGTATACTTTCTCTGTTGCTTATATATACTTGGCTTTATTTTGTGGGGCTTCTCGTTCTTATTGAACTTTTGCTTCAGCAAATTCGAGCCGCAACTTGGCACCCAGCTAACCTCACTTTGCCGCCTCCACGTAACCTCGAAGAGCATCGCTTTGGTTCGCTAATTAATTCCTGCGTGTGGCCAACGACTTGGCTTGCAGCTAATTGTTATTGTTTTAACTACCTTGAACGACGTCGCAGTGCCCCCACCTCCCGTCCTTCTGTCGTTCCCCCCTCACCACTCTTCACAAAGAAGTGGTGCGCCATTTTGCGGTTTTTGAAAATTCAGTGAGCGTGTGTGCAGCAAGGCGAGAATTTGCGCTATAAACATAAAAATTAACGACTGACAAAAGGTTGTAAAAGACAAAGACTGAAGAGAGTTGGCCTGTGCAGCGGGAGTGGGAGTGGGAGTGGGAGTGTGCGGCGAAGAGCGTAGTGGAGCTGCCCAATAGTTTGGCAGAGCATTAAAATCAGTTTTTATGACCCTGCCACACCCACTTCGTGGAACGTGCAGGCAGGCAGGCAGGCAAGCAGTTGATTAAAAATCAACATAATTCAACAGGAAATAAGGAAGAGTGATATTTATACATACAAACATATATATCGGTAATATTTTCAAAAGTAGTATTTTTCCTCTATTTATGTACATCCACATGTAGATTTCAGTCTATTATTTTGAGTAGTGTAAAGACAATGTTTTAACTTATTTAAACTTTATGTTACAAAGGAATGCAGTGCAAGAACCCTGCCCGGCATTCTGCGACTAAAAAGAACAAATATTTAAGCCACTGGACAGCCACTGAAGGCTGGGCGGGGGTGCAAATGGTACACAATGGTACACAACTCATTTGCGACAATTCCATGGACAAGTCTCAAGTCTCATGTCTGGAGATTCGCTGGGAATTCGAGCGCGACGCCAGCATCCTAAGCCGCTTACTTCAAGTGCGCCGAACATTGAGCTACACAAATGCCGCACAATGGTCGCTGCCACTGCCACTGCGGCAAGTCCAACAAACGACCAACGATGACAGCGCGATTAACTCGCTGTAAGCCATAAACGCTTCTCCGAGCAGCAATCCCCGTGCCTATCCCGGCACTAATTTTGTATGCATGAGCAGAAATGAAAAGCGATGCAAAAA